GAGAAGAGAAAAATAGACCACAGGGTATGTGACTGGTTGACTTGATAAAGGAGAGAAAAATACATAAATGAATTGATTTTAGATTACCTTCAATGATTTAATCCATAACTTCTTGATATCATGACTAGAAGATCGATACCAAAGCTCTATCGACAATCAATTTTGAAGAATTGATTTTGTAGAAATCAATTCCCAGTTAGGCGTGTATTTGCGATCCATGAGATTAATCAGGTTTTTTTCGATTAATGATGAATTATCGATGGCTGACAAAAATGAGAGAGAGGTTGGATGATCTCCAGCGAAGAGAATGGTAGGTCGATGTATAAGTGGTCTTCTACAGACGTATGGATGAAGGAGAAGAGACAACACTTTTAATGGAGTCGAGATGATCGACAACAATGAATAAAAGACCGTGTTGGTTGTTGATACAGGTAGGGGTTGGCATTGGAGGCGGAGGCGGGGGGAGGTACGGATGGAATTAGGGAGGAGGTCGATGGACTCAATGAAGAATCAGGAAAAGGGAATGAGCAGTAGAAATAATTAGGGATCGATCTGATATGTTTATTTGGGGGATAATTTCTAAATCCCTAAAATATCCTTATGTTATTTTTTTGAGATACCCTCCCGTGTTTTTTTCCACTTATTTACAAAGGTGCCATAAAAGATCTTAGCCTTTAATTGTTTTAATCCAAAGGTCCACTTATAGTATGTATATCATGGCTACGCCTAGTCTATCTACCCATATTTAGGGTTTTAGCGTGATTCAACTTCACCATTGCAACCATTTTTGAAATTGACATGATGGATTCCTATTACATTTGTTCTTCTCCCCTAACCTTTTTCTTTATTGTTGCGATGAAGATTAAGCAGGATCGACTATTGACAGGAGCAAGGTGCTCGAAGACACAAGGACCAAAAGAAGAATTAAGGGCCCGTTTCCTTCATCCAATTTCAGGTTAAATATCAAACCTGCTTCTTCTTACTGTACAAGGCTAAATGCCTGTAATTTTTCTATTTGATATTTTTATTCATTTTATGTGCCTTATTGTTTTTCTTGCAAATTCTATTTCAAAACATAACTTCATTTTAATAGTTGTTGCGATATTTCTCGATTATTGTTTTGTGGGTCTTCTTTTAACTTGTAACCCATCACGGATGCTTATTTTTTATAATAAGGTTGAAATAACAGGTAATCATCATAGATGTATTAGATTAGTCTAAGACACATATGTCAATGGCAATGTAGATTCTTGGATGGATTTGGGAAGAAGCTCGGTGATAGTAGAGGAAGCCATTATGGTACATATGAATAATGTAGATTATTGATGCACTGGTGGATGTGTGTTCTTAGATTTAAAAACAAATTTCAAAAGAAGATGATCAACTATTTTTTTTTCTTCTGATTTTGACCATATTAGATTTTGGTCCAACTCTCATATCTGCAAATTTTACAAATTTATAAAAATACCCTTTGAATGTGTAGATTGTTGTGAGGTTATTGCTGGTGATTCCTTTACTGGCGCGATGATCCACAGGTAATTTAATCGGAAACCCTAACATTTTCATCTTCTTTTTTATTCTGATGTGTGGTATGTTTCAAATCTTTTTGTATCTGTCTCTCTTTTTGGTTCCATGGACCTTCATCTAACGCGCAATTCGAATCGAAAATGCCCTTTTCAACATGATGCTAAAATCATTCGAGTAAACTTAGATTTAAAAAAAATACCCAGTCGCCTAAATCCAATAAAAGATTATGGTAGTTTCAAGTTTCTTCCTAATCGTTATATCGATCATCTATTCATACCAAAAAGTTGTTAAATTACAGGTCCAAGCTACCTAATTGCATAACGAGGCTCTAAAAAACAATAATCAAAGTTTTCAAGAATTGTGTTCAGTTGTTATACTTCATAAGCAAACATCAAAAGAAAATATATATATATATATATATATATATATATATATATATATATATATATATATATATATATATATATATGCGAATCCTAAAAAAATGATAACTTATCTGAAATCAACGAAGATGATGAGTGAGAAATAGAAACTATCATTACTCTTCCACTATCGCCACCATTAACACTGCCAAGTACCAGTCTACCATACGTTGCCATCAACCATCGTCACCACAAAGCATCAATGTCAACACCAACAACATCATTCCCTAAAAAATCAGAAAAGGATTAAAAAAACAAAATTCGCAGTTTAATTCATTATTTCAGACACTAATTCACAACTTAATTTAATATTTCAGACACTAATTCAAAGCTTAATTTAATATTTCAGACACTAATTCACAAATTAGTGCATAAAAAAACACATTCATAACTTAACTTACATATTCACAATTTAATGCATAAAAACACATATTCACAGTTTATACACTATGTTCACAACTATTTTATAGGTATAAAATTCAAATCTTGATTAAAAAAAATAGAATTCATAGTTTAATAAAGCATTCCAGGACTCTTATTAATGATTTAATCAAATACCTTGTATGCTCTATAAAAGGATATTCAAATGATCGAATACCTTGTATTCTCATATTAAAATTAATTAAAAAAAAGTCATGTATTCACAACATAAAACTTATACTTTTTTTTATTAATAATAGTTAAAACTAACATTAACATAACTAAATAATTTATGAAACCTTAAAACATCACAATTTAATCACAAGAACAATAATACAAAAAACAATCATAAACAAATCATTCATATTTTAACTCAAAGTTAATTAAAAGTTTAAAATTTAATATAATTAATTCACAGTTTAAACGATAAATTCACAACTTAAGCTTAGTGCGGTTATTCATATTTCTAAACACACAGGTTACAATTTAATACTCAAAATCCATAGCTTAATAAAATCAATTCACAGTTTAAACAGAAATTATACAACTTAATGCAATCAATTTACAGTTTAAAACCCACATATCACAACTTAATACACAAAATTTATAGTTTAATACAATAAATTCACAGTTTAATACACATATTATCCATTCACAACCATATTATCAACTTAAAACTCTTAGTACAGTCATTTCACAGTTTAGTACACAAAATTCACGGCTTAATGTAACAAATTCATAGTTTAATACACATAATATATATTCATAGTCATATTCTCAAATTAAAACTTACATATACATAAAATTCACAACTTAATACAATAAAATCATAGTTTAATACACAAAAATATGCATTCACAACCATATTATCAACTTATAACTCTTAATACAGTCAATTTACATTTTAATACTTAAAATTCACAACTTAATACAATAAATTATAGTTTAATATAAAAAAATTCATAGCTTTATATAATCAATTTAGTGTTTAAACAAGAAATTCACAACTTAATGCAGTCAATTCACAGTTTAAAACACAAAAATCATAGTTTAATAGATATCATCATATTTTAACACAAAATCCATACAAGTTTCACAACTTAATTTAGTCGATTCACAACTTAATATTGTTTATACACAACTTAATATTGTCCATTCAAAGTCTAATCACAAAATTCATTATAGTTGAAGTTTAAGATCCAACAGATATCCACATAAGAGATGTGAAAAAAAATAATGTATTCACAGCTTAAAACTTCAAGACCTCCACATTAAAACTTGACAAATTAGGAGTAAACTAACATATTTGATATAGATTTAAAGCACACCAATGAAGATATGAAGTAAACCAACACATCAGAGAAAACCCAATGAAGAATTTACTCAAAATAACAACAAAAAACTTATTTTCACAAGCTATGGAAGAACAAAAATGAGTGAAAATACTAAAAATATGTGAACAAAAGTAATAAAATGAGTGTATATATGATATCCTTCAGATCTGGAACAAAAAAGCACATGAAGCTTGTCAATCTCGCAAGGAAACACCAACGACAGATAGAAACCACAAAACTAACACTTGAGAAAAGAGATTGTAGTTGTTAAAACTCAGATTCAATTAGATCTAACCAAATCTGAACATATCTAGATTAGGAACACTATCAGAAACAAGAGAAAACCATCAGACTCTCATATCTAACCAGATATGAGCAAAAAGCGCCAAGGTAAGTCAACAAATTCACAAATCTGTCAACGTACCACCGGACACGAAAAACGGTGGTGGTTGTTTGCCGGAGATCACATATATCTAGATCTAAAGATGAAAATAACAAACAAATTTCACAGATCTAAGACATGAAGAAGACAAACCAGATCTGAAGAAATCAGATCTAAAATCATGAGCACGATGCACAAAAAAATGAACTGATCTGACATGTTCAGGTGGTGGTCTGACATCGGAGGTGCTAACGGTGGTTTAACACCGACGATAGTTGTTGCTCTCCAGTTCTGATACATTTTTTCCATTTAGAGAGAGAAGTGGAACCGAAGGAGGTTGGTGTTGTTGGTGCTTGTTTGGCTTCTTCAGCGGTAATTGTTCATCGGAGTAGTGGTGGAGGAGAAGAAGTGACAGTAGATCTAGATCTAAGCGTGGTGGTTCCAGATCTGAAGTTCTGGCGACATTTGTAGGTGTTTTCGTAGGTAATCGAAGGCTGTGACAAATGAAGAGAAGCAACGGCTGTGGAGTCGCCGTCGGCAATGGTGGCGGCAGTGGGGCCGCCTTCGGCGGTGGTGTTGTCGCGCGACAATGATGGCGGTGGTGTTCTTCAAAGGTTATTGAAGAAAATGAAAGAATTACTTTTTCTCTTAAACAACTATAAAAGTAATTCATCAGATATGATTTTAAGAATAAGTTTTTTAAAAGATCATTATAACCTTGTGTTTTGTTATTTATCAAACTTTAAAAAATAAACAAAATAGCTAAAAATAGGAGGTTATTAGGTTCTTAACCTTTAGTATTTCTCATTTGAACCTTTATATATATATATATATATATATATATATATATATATATATATATATATATATATATATATATATATATATATATATATATATAATATGATGATAGAACTTTCCTAATTTTTTATTATTGAAACCATTGGTGGTTGAGAAAGTTAAAAAAGTTTTATAAAAATCTATAAATTTAACCAATTTTCAGTTTAACTAAAACTTTTGCTTACAGAAAAAATAAAACGTATAAGTTTATCAAAATTTGTTTTTTTAACTGTTTACCAATAATTAACCACAAATCCAATTATCGAACAAAATTATATATTTCTTTTTCTGAAAAAGCCATAGTTTTTAAAGGAAAAAAAATAAAACATTTGATTTAAGAGAACAAAACAAAGTTTTATATCTTTCATGAAATTAACCTTTTATCTTTAGCCACCTTCTCCTTGAAAATGTTTTGGCTAGCTTTTAATTCTTTCAATTTCTTATTATTAATGGTTTAATTTGGCAAATATCAGCCACAAATTACCATGACACGTACTCCTCCTCAATCCACCAGTAGAAATCAGACATTCTTCAACCAGATAAGGCCTAGATAAGGCCTACGTTCTCTCATCCCTCAGATGGATACTCGCTTCATCCAACGGCCAAAATTTCCTCGCTTATCTAATCCCTTCACACCCATCAAACTCTATACATCACGCCACACTTCTTGCCCACTACACACAAGTCACAACCCACCACCACCACCACCAATGGCAACCGCCGCATCTGCCGCCGCCGCCTCCTCCTTCATCGGAACCCGTCTCCCGGACCTACATTCCAACTCCGGCCGAGTTACAGCTAGATTCGGATTCGGAAAGAAGAAAGCCGCCCCCAAAAAAGCATCGAGAACCGTAACATCTGATCGCCCCTTATGGTATCCCGGCGCAAAAGCACCGGAGTATCTAGACGGGAGTCTGGTCGGAGACTACGGGTTTGACCCTTTCGGTTTAGGTAAACCGGCAGAGTATTTACAGTTTGATTTGGACTCGTTGGATCAAAACTTAGCGAAGAATTTGGCCGGAGACGTGATCGGAACCCGGTTCGAAGATGCGGATGTGAAATCGACACCTTTCCAACCATACAGCGAAGTGTTCGGGCTTCAGAGGTTTAGGGAGTGCGAACTCATCCATGGCCGGTGGGCTATGTTGGCTACCCTCGGCGCTCTCACCGTTGAATCCGTCACCGGTGTTACATGGCAAGATGCTGGAAAGGTGCGTACGTACATGTTATAAATTTGATTAGTCGATGATTAAGCATAAACCATGAAAATTAATCGATTTTCTTGTATTGTTTTTCTTTAGGTTGAACTAATCGATGGATCATCGTACCTTGGTCAACCACTCCCATTCTCTATCACCACTTTGATCTGGATTGAGGTTTTGATCATCGGCTACATTGAGTTTCAAAGAAACGCTGAGCTTGATCCTGAAAAGAGGTTATACCCCGGTGGTCCGTTTGATCCGTTGAACTTAGCCGCCGACCCCGAGAAGAAAGCCATCCTACAACTGGCGGAGATCAAGCATGCCCGTCTTGCCATGGTGGGATTCCTTGGGTTTGCCGTTCAAGCAGCGGCCACCGGAAAAGGTCCTCTCAACAACTGGGTTACTCATTTGAGTGATCCACTTCACACTACTATCCTTGACACCTTTGGCTTCTTCTCGTAAAATCGTTTTTTGGAGATTCCGTTGATAAATATATATCATCACCGATGTAGTTTTATGATTACGTCTATCTTGTAAAGTTTGTAACTTTTGACAAATCAAGCGGAACAATATATTGCTTTTTATTGTCACTTCGCATGGATCGAACCTATGACACTTGTTTTTGTCAATGATGAGGGGAAATCTGTATAAACCGTTTGCTTTTGATATTTAAATAAAGAATAATGAATATACATTAATTAACTAACTGATAGCATAATATTTTTGTCCACTTTTCATAATTAAACAACTTATTATTTTATTTTATATATTTAACCATTTAAATTGTTATATGTTTTCCATATTATCATTGTAACCGGTTATAACAACAGTAACAATGATAATATATGTGAATGCATTTAATAACAAATTAAATGGTCAAATGTATATAAAAAAATAAAGTTATCTAAATATGAACAAAACAAAAAGTTAATTATCATAATAAGTTATTTACACCACTTTTAATTAGGGATCATAGTTGTTTGGTTGTTTTACGGTTTGGCTTTCGGTATTGAACTTTTCAAACCGTAGTGAACAGTTTGGCTTACGGTTTTTAAGATTTCAAACTATATAAAAACCGGACTTGAGCATATATATATATTACAGTTTGGCTTTCGATATTGAACTTTTCAAACCGTAGTGAACAGTTTGAATTACGGTTTTTAAGATTTCAAACCATATAAAAACCGGTCTGGAGCATATATATATATATATATATATATATATATATATATATATATATATATATATATATATATATATAATTTTTTATATGTAATTGTATTTTGCTGTATTATAAATTAATTTTACATAAATAGTAAAATTAAAACCCACAACGTTTAACTACTAGGCCCAATCCTAATTTCTTTTGTGAACTAGTAAATAAAGTCCAATTGAAAAAACAAGAAGTGTCCAATCTAATCCAAGAGTCCAGACTCCAGATGGGAAGTAAGTCATGTAACGTCGTAACCTAATCGCAAAAACGCAAACTCGAATCGAACTCGTCGTTTCTCTTTGTTGTTTCTATCTTGACTGTCATTGACTTGTAGCCAACTAAGACTCTGAGACGGTATCAACCCTCTGACTACACCTCGTCGGCTCATCGTCTCCGCCTGCAACAGCTCCACCTTCGTCTGCAATAGCTCCGCCTCCGCCTGCAACAACTCCTCTTCTAGCTTACAACTTCGTCGCTCCTTCTCTGATAAGGTATGTTATGTTCAGAACATAAGGTACGTTATGTTCTGATCAAAGCTAATACACCACCAATCAATTATTAATTCGTTTAGATATCAAAGCTTTAGGTTCTATGTGTTTAGATTTCGATTCATACTCAATATTTTGGTTCTCTGTGTTTTTTTATTGAAATGGTTAACAACTTAACATCACAGTTTCACAGTTCTAGAGCATCATGTCAAAACATCAATTATATGGTTAACAACTTACAATTGCTAGAGATATCTTGTGACAATAGTCAAATTTGGGTCAAGTCTAAGTTGAACAAAGTCGTCGAGTCAAACCGGTCAACTCAATTAAACATTGCATACTAGGGTTTGTGTTATGTAATTACTGTATAACTCACTATTTTAATGAGAAAACATCACTTGGAAAATTCGTGTGTTTAATTTTCCTTAGCCTTAGTGCTAAACAATGAACAAAAACAATGAAACAATGTTGCATACTCATCGGGAGTGTGTAGGATCCTAAAACATGGCTTAACGGGGTTTACGGACCTTGCGTTGTGGATCCAAACACTCAAAATTGTCACACATGAAACCTATCTCAATCGTTTTCACTTTATCTCTCTATTGTTAAATCTCTACCAAATCTCTCTAAGTATGTGAAATCTCTCCCAAATATCTCTTTATATGAGAAACCTCTCCCAGAAGGTCAAATCTCTCCCAAATCTCTCTAAGTATGTCAAATGTCTCCCAAATATCTCTTTGTATGAGAAATCTCTCCCAGAAGGTCAACTCTCTCCCAAATCTCTCTAAGTATGTGAAATCTCTCCCAAATATCTCCTTGTATGAGAAATCTCTCCAAGAATGTCAAATCTCTCCCAAATCTCTCTAAGTATGTGAAATCTCTCCCAAATATCTCTTTGTATGAGAAATCTCTCCCAGAAGGTCAAATCTCTCCCAAATCTCTCTAAGTATGTGAAATCTCTCCCAAATATCTCTTTGTATGAGAAATCTCTCCCAGAAGGTCAAATCTCTCTAACTATGTGAAATCTCTCCCAAATATCTCTTTGTATGAGAAATCTCTCCAAGAATGTCAAATCTCTCCCAAATCTCTCCAAGTATGACAAATCCCTCTCAAAATCTCTCTTAACTTTCTATAATCACTCGGGGCATCCCGACCCTCGAATTTGGCGAAAAACAGCCCAAAAACGGAAGTCTACACGAAAAACGGACTTTAGGAACCGAAACCTCTTAGGAGCCGAGACCCTCTCAACCGAAATGGACCGAGTGCTCTGTCTATTTCGGTCCTCTGATAGTTCTAAACCGAGACTCTCCTTCTTACCTTTCGGCCCGAGAGGGCTTGACCTTCGGTCCGAGGACCAGACTCTCGATCCCTTCTGATGAGCAGGTCTACGAGACCTCTCGGTTCCCATGCATCCGAGCTCCACTTTCGGTCTGAGAGGCGACCCGCAGCCGAACCCTACTCTCTCGGTTTTTCTCCTGCTCTCGGTTCTAAGCTCCTAAAGAGCCGAATCTTCGCATCCTCGGCCCAAATTTTGGAATTTGGCAGTTTTTGCCCGGTTTTCAATATTTTTAGCGTTTTGAGCCCGTTTTTCGAGATTCCAACGCGGGATTTTCACCCAAACTCGTATTTTAACATAATAAACCCCAAATATTCATATTTTAATTATATTTTGGGGGAAAATCCTTGTTTAAGAATAAAATCTAGTAGGTAAGATTTATGGGTGGAGTGTTGACTTTGCCTTAGTGTGTGACACAAGCAACCTCCCCATACCTCCATAGTATAACCCCTTGTCCTTCCACTATACCTAAGTCATGCTAATGTACTTTATCATAATTTCCAGCCATTTCCCACGTTCTTAGAACTGGAACATCCACCCTCTCTCCTCACTTCACTTATTTTCTCTTATTTACACCACAAGATCAAACACTTTTTCTCTCAACTCTTCTCTCTCAATTTTGAGATTTCCAAGGCTTTCCTTCTACTTTTGGTAAGTATCTTCATTATCCTTATGATTTTTACACTTCCTTCTACTCCAATCATAGATTGCTTACACAAATATTGTCATATTTGTGTTAGATCTTCGAATCTTCGAGCACCTCCCAAGTGTTCTTGAATTGAGAACTCCTTTTCTCCATCATCCATCTACTGAAATCACTCAAGGTGAGTTCATACCCCTACATTTTCACGTTTTCTCAAGTTTTTAAGGGGGGATTACAACTTAAAACACCAAGAACATAACTAAACTTTTCTAACAGCTTTCATCAGAAAAGTTGGACTCCATTCACGGACTGTTTTGGACAACTTAAACATTTTAGTTTTCAAAACTGTTTTAGGTGCAAGTAGTTCCACTTTTTAGCTTTAAGATGAATACTTGAACATCTCCATACGATTTTTCTACAATTTATGGTGATTTTTACAAAGCTGTCTATCATTTCAAACATCAATCCGGACCAGTCTGTGATTAAGGACTTGTTCACACAAGTTAGAGGTCACTAAAAATTATGGAAAAATTTATGGACAAACTAGACTCATTTTTCAAACTCTCAGGAGTTACAGAACTTGATTTGGACATTTTATGATGTTTCTAAAAAATTTCTAATAACAGTTACAGAAAACGTTATTAACAGAAAAACACTATCAATTTCATTTCACCTTGTAACATGTTGAGCAAGGTATATATCATTATGTGATTATGTGTTGTTGCAATATATGACATTTTTGTGTTAGTATCTAGACATACACCAGTTAACAAATGGATTTTTACTAGATATAGCATGGAATAAATAAAGTGTTATAATTAAAGTACACCCATTACACACAAACATTTTATTAAACTATGTTAAGTATAGTTTATGTACTTTACTATTTCTACCCTTGTTTGGTAAACTATAATAGGTATAGTTTATGATACATTTCAAAATACATACATTTCAGAAGGGTACATTTATACAAAAGGGAACTTTCATTACGTTAAGTGTAAATTTGTTAATTACTTTGTGAGACATTCGCTTCGCATTAATCATAAGTCCTGTATTGTAACCAGAGTCTCCTGGAGGGAGAGCATGATAATTGTATATAGATCTATATTGGGCTTGACAAACCCACACCTGAGCTGCATGCAACAGCTAGATCGGCAGATCTGAGGTGACAAATGTCATAACAGTTCCGACGCCTGAAGAACGTCGTTTTCAGGCCATCTAGGTCATAGTATGGTTATAATAACTCACAGAAAGTATTAATAAACATAAGAATTTATGGGAAATTCATTGATACCATACGCGTTTATGTTGAATTAAACTCATATTATTTTCGGTAAATAAGGAAGATTACTTACACGTTTCGGTCTTTTGGATATAAGACTACAATACTTATTTTTAAGGATAATATCGGATTTTTCTGAAACAACCGTACATTTACGAGACAAGTTTTTCATAATTGCTTACAAAAACTTATGAACTCACCAACCATTGTGCTGACACTTTTTCAAATAACTTGTATTCTCAGGAAATCACTAAACAGGAAATCAAGTGGATTTTGAGGATGGGACGTTAAGGCGTCAAACATTTCATATTTTTGTCAACATGTTGTAATTTATTTTGAAACATGTAATTCATACAATGATGTAACTCTTTCAATTATATATATGTTGGTTGTGTTTACTTTCATCACTATTGCCACTATTGTTATGATACTATACATGAAGTCCTCCACCCCCGGACGTTTCCGCCATCCTTGGTTTGGGGGGGCAACAGATTGGTATCAGAGCACGGTTGATAGTGAATTAAGTATATCAAACCACATACGATATACAAACTATAAACACATTTGGACTAAAAATCTCTGATTTTAAACATTTCTCAATTGAATATACTTTTAGAAAATAAATGGTTTTCTTGATTAAAGTATACATACGTACATTACATGCTCACATAGTGTCATAACTTGGGAGAACATAAAGTGAAAAAGGAGGAGTTGAACATTACGAGTATGCCCTAGCATGTGTAA